AGATTTTCAATAAGATTTTGTTGACGCTTTTTTGCTGAAATCGACTCATCACCAGAATATTCATCTTCAGGCATTAGTTTGTACAATTCAAGCCAGTGTAGATCTGCTACACTAAAAGTAAAAAACAATAATTCTTGATGTCCTATTTGTTTAATCATATTAGATAATTCATATCATTTTACCATTCAAAATTGCTGTGAATTACGTAAGCCTTCTTCATATCTTATTATTCTATCTGCTAGTTGTTTATCATCATTAGAGATCATTTCTTGTATGTCTGTGACATCTATCTGATTATCATTTAGATTTTGTTTAACAAATACTGCCTTCTTACAAAGCCCGCCATCTTATTGATGAATTTAGAGCAAAATACCTCCAATGTGCATGTCTGCCAAACCTTTCATCTTTATACTATAAAAGGTGTTTAAAATATTCTGCAGGCTTAACTTCTCTAGTGTGTTCTGATCTAAGGTCAGCTTGACCATGTGAATAAAGAGTCAGAAATACTCTTACCATATAACCAGGTGTTTGAAGTTCATTTATAGGAATACTTTCGATCTTTGGTCATAATAATGTATTATTATTGCTTTGCATATGATCAAGTGTATCATTTATGGCAACATCTTCCTGATTTGTATTTGAAAGTGAAGGTACAAATGTATTTGTTATTTCATTCTCATTATTTTCATTATCAACTAATCTCTTATCTAGAATTTGATCATCCTGAATCTGAGGAAGCAATGAGCAATAGATCCATTTTTAGGTAATGAAAAGAAAATTTCATTATCGATAATTATATCATTATAGAATTTGTTATTTTGTTTTAGCTATAATAACGTACTAGCTACTCTATTTTGACGCATATAAAATTTCTAAAGGCTATTGGATCCTTTACTGATTGTTATTGTATTATAATTATATCTAATGAGAATAGTTGCCATGAGAGCTGATTTATAAATCCTTAAATATCTTAAGGAAAATTTATAATATTTCCTCTATACCAATTTTGCCCTCTCTGAAATCAATATACCGTCATTACTGTAAAAGCTTGTATAATAAGCATTTCTTCAATTTTTGAAAGTCCTTTGAGTTCTTCGAACATTTTTCCTGGATCCATATTGTTTTCTGCTAAAAACTTCTTTGGTGATAACTTTTTTGTATAATATTATCAGCACATTTCTTTGACAAGTATCATGAATAGAATTTGCTCATTATATATAGGATAGGTATTATATTGAATATTGTCCATTTTTTTGCAAAATTTCTGCAACAAAATGCGTTCTTTCTTATTAATTGTATTGGTTGATAATAGTATAGATTGTAAGTTAAAATTATTTTGATTTATCTCTCGAGAAGTTTCATCATCACTAACACTTTCTATTGATATTTGATGTGTTTTTCTTTAAGAACGCAGCTCGCATTTACGTTCATTCTCATGTGAAATATGATTCTGACATTCCTCAGTTGTTTCTGTTAACCTCTTTTACCTTTTTCATGCACAATCATTCATAAGTTGCGCATTATAGTTTTCTTGTGTTTCTTTTGTGTGATTCTATTGTTTACATTCACTCTCATGTTCAAGACGTGCATCATGTTGTTTAGCAATCTCATTTTTTTTGTTATTATTCTTTCTAAGTGTTTCAGGATTTATACTTTTATTATTTATTTTAAAAGTGCAAACTTTGATTTTATGTTAATATTAACTTTATTTAACTTTATTGTATATGCTGATTTATAGATCAACTTAAAATCTGATTTAATTATAAAACTTAGCTTATAGATGATCTCTAAATCAATTAATAAATAAATTTTAAAACTTAATTTTTATTATTTATTTTTTACAATATTTTATTTAAGAAACTTATAAAAAATATATATAATATGAATTAGAATTAACTGAAAAAATAATTAAATCTCTTGCATTTTGATTTTACTAATATTAATTTTAAAGTATTATTACTTATAATATTTATAGTGAACTTTTGTTACTAATCAGAAATGTATTCCTGATTTGCTGATTATACGGATCATAGATTCAATTAAGTTTCTGTAATTGAACAAACTTTAAATAAACATAAATCAGGAATGTACTTTTGATTAACAGCAAAATTCACTATATATTTATTATGTAACAAATTATAATAATTTTCATTTTGGACTTAATAATGATTTCTGAAACCATTATCTAGTTTAATTTGAATCAGTAATTATTAAGTAATTTGATATAGAAAATGGTGTTTAAATACTTTTATTCATCTTTTATAATAAAATCAGAAAAAGCTAGTTGAATTAACTTTAATGCAATTACTTATAGAAATATTAAATATAAATAAAAGCAATATAACTTATTATTAATATTACTAAAAAACTGTTAATAAAAACTAGTAATTCAAAAACTTTTCTTGATAAGTATTACTAATATCATTAGTATTATTAGAGAGATTTGAGTTTTTAATTTTTTTTATTTTTCTATAACATACATATATCATATACATTTCACATATATATCATATATTTATTATAATATAATATTATAAAAATAATAACAAAAATTTGAATTTTTTTATTAATAATACTAGTGATACTAAATAAAATAATCTAATAATCTTAAAAAGTATAATGAATATATTATTAGTTTTATCACTAGTTATTATATAGAACTAATAACACTAGTAATAACTAGTGACAAACTGTTAAAAAAATCTTAATAATACTTTTTAATAACAAACTTAATAATAAAATTTATAATTATTTCATATTTTTTAAAACTATTAAATAATTTTCAAATAGATATTATTATGTAACTTTGAAAAAAGTATATAGGGTATCACTAAAAACATTACATCAAACTTTTTTCATAATGACAATAAACTTTATAATAATATTAGTAATAATTGTTAACAGCAAAAATTTATACTAATTCTTATTTTAGTTTTTATTCTAATAATTACTTTATTTCTAAAATAAAATATATTATATATATTGTTTAACTATAACTTATCATATGTCAATAATTGAATTAATATATTTATATCAAAAAATGATTAAATTGTAAATAACATATTATTTATAATTAAATAAGCTGAATATAGTAAAACATATTATATATCTGATACCTTTTCTAATTAATTATCAATTAAGCTTTAAAATTACTAGTAAGGTTTTCAGAACTAATACAAAACTGACATAATAAGATATAGTCTAATTTTAACCAGTATTATTTTATAATTTCTGGCTAAGCTTAGAATGAAATAATTTAATACTTATAAATAATTTAGAATTGACAAATTAATAGAATCTTTTTGGCTTATAGATAGTTTTACATACTTTCCTGATATTATTATATTTCTAAATAGATCTTTTAAATATGTATTATAAAGATCAGTCATAGTTATGTTATAGTATTAGCTAACATTGATCAAAGAATCACTGTAATACTTGAGCATTAATTAAGCAATATATTTTTTGATTATAAAAAAAAATAAAAGTGACTAACATATAGATAGATTTTTAGTAATAAAAAAGGTGTAAATATAGGTAAGTGAATGGATAATTCTTTAGAATAAAATAAAAGCTGAATTAGATCAATATATTGGTAGCTCTTGATAATAAAAGAAGCAGAAAACAATTATAATTAGATTATGAAAATATTGTTAGATTATAATATTATTAGTCATTATTAGATTATGAAATTATCATTAGATTATATTATTATATATTATAATATAGTAGGTAATAACTAAAATAATAACTAGAAGGTTAAAAAGAAACCTTTCAAAATTACATTATAAAGTCACTAATAGATATGAATACATAAGATTATGAAATTAGGTTATATAATTACTATTAGATTATGAAATTAGATTATAATACTATTACTAGATTATAACATTATCACTCAATATAGCTTTACCTATAGATTATATTATTATATTTGATTATGACCTACCACTAGATTATGTCATTATTTTCATAACCTAATCTAAGTTTCCAGTGATTCTTTAAACTAATTAGTTTGAAGAAATATTGGTGACTAATAATAGTATTGATTTTTTATTTTTTTATAAAAAATAATTATTTATTATAATAAAACTTTAATAGTAAATCATTATATAAAAGATTACTATATAAAAAATTTGATTTTTTAATAAGATGCAAAATATGTTACTATTATTTACTATTATACCTTTTTATAATCAAATTTGATTTAAATACTAGGAAACGCCTATAATATTGAAACTTGTTTTAATTGGCCAATCAAAATTTTCAAATTCTCAAATTAAAAAAAAAATTGATTGGACCTAACGCTTGTCCTAAAACGAATAATAAATATAAAAGAAATAGTATTTATATCCAATTAAATATACTAATCAAGAATATGCAGAAAGTTAATATCAATTCCGATAGAGGTTTGGAACTAAACCACACGATAAAACTAGGCAAAATTTTTTGTAATCACAAAGATTCGGACTACGAATTCCTAATCTATTATAACTTGTTAAGTCCAGAGCAATGTTAACTAAAAAAAAAATTAACACTGGTATTTGCTTTATCGAGATTTTGTGTAATCGACTTCACTCCGGCTAGGAAACCATTGTTAAGGAACCAATCACAAAACGACTCAAATTTCGAATCGGGGCAATTTTGTACCTTATGCAGACTAAATAGACTATGCTTTATCTAGACTTTTGTGCAAATTGCAAACGCCAATCAGCATCGACTCAATTATTGAGCAGGGGAGGGAAAGTATATTTTTCCGAATATTTAATTGTCATTAAAATCTAATACGATGTGCTTTTTATTTGTTTATTTTACTTTTTTTCTTTTCTTTATTTAGCTTATTGTATATTTTTAGTACTCACTTCCATATAAATTAGTAAAACATTAAATTTTTTCGTTTTTAAAATTGTAGCTTTTTATAACAATTTATTCCTTTGAGCCATTATTCTTTTCTTGTATACATTATCACAATTCCTTTTCATACATATTTTTTTTGACCAATGTATCAGCCTGGCGCACCCCTTCATTCTGAATACCACGGTGCTGGACGTGGAGAGTATCCGCCTCCTCCTCCTGAAGGTTATTATCCCCATCCTCCTCCAATGCTTCCTCATATGGCTCCACCTCCACCTGGTCACATGCACCACCCATATTACGATTATCATCACTCCCACCATTATATGTCATATCACCCCGCATCTATGAACCCAAACATAGCACCTCCAGTTCCCCCTCCCGCGCCACCTATAGACTTTGGGGATAAACGTTCAAAATCTAACGCGAACGCACCAACTTCCGAGGGTATTGATAAAAATAAGATTTCGACTTTCATAACAAAATCAACTGTACCAATCTTACATAAAGCACGATTCAAAAAAGAACGGTTTGGTGCCTTCGATCCACCGACAACAGGAGAGGAAGAAGATAAAAGGTGTGCAAGATAGCAAGCAAAGACTATAAATGTGAATGACTTATTTTGATTTATATACTTTGGGTCTTATAAACCCAAGTTTTTTTTTTTTTTTTTTTATGAGAAGTCTGATCATCTGAAAATATTCATAGTATGATTTTTGATTAATATCTTTATATCTTTTATTAACATTACAATTTTATCGGAACATCCTATGCAGGACATATACTCTCATAGTTAGTCAGCAACCTTTGCGCGCTCGAATGTGTGGATTTGGTGAAAAAGATCGACGACCGATCGACCCACCGCCGATCGTACAATTAGTAGTAACTGATGAGAAGGGGATTCCTGACACTGGGTGAGTTTGAGATAACATTTTGAATTTCTCTACAAGTTCTTTAAACAATAACTTTTTATAATTTTCAATATATAGCACGAACTTAAGGTTGTGTGTATTTACCAACATCATGTATCTTTTTATACTCCTTTAATGTACTAATAATTTTTTTATTTTATATAATATTACATTAGAATGTTGCAAAATCCTTTTTTCGTTCTTCATGTCACACTTTGGTCTGAAGATGGCCGAGAAGAACGAAATGTGATTAGCAACCCACCAAAAACAACGCGAGTACTTATGGGATCACTTGTTTCATCGCCAGCTATTCTTAAGAATACCACAGGAGAACAAGGATGTTACTTTTGTTTTCCGGATCTCTCTATACGTACAGAAGGGAAATACACTCTAAAATTTTCTTTGATGAAGTTGGGAACGTGCGTATCTTCATGATCTTTCTAAGAAACTTCTCTTTTTTTCCACAGAAATTCATAATTTTGTATATGCATTGATTTTATAGTGAAGACCGGTTAATCAATACAAGAACAGAAATAATCGCCACTACGTATTCTGATCCTTTTACTGTATATTCAGCAAAAAAATTTCCTGGGATGACAGGTTAGGAAAATTCGTTATAAATTTACTTACGATCTACGATGCTGATCATATTAAGTACATTCTAGAATCAACGGAACTCTCCAAAGCTTTTGCAAAACAAGGGTTAAAAATTCCAATTCGAAATGATGTACGCCCGAGGAAAATTACTGAAGATTAAAATATCTCGAATTGAATTTTTAAAAAGAGCCGAAATTGTAATAACCGACCGTATATTGTAAGTTGAGAAGTATAACAAGATATTAATCATAAATTTATTATATATAATTATCACAATCTACAGTATTAGTAAAGTTTCCTCCTCTTTTTTTAATATTAAATTTATAGGACTATTGTACATTATGGAACAAACTTTCGATTTAAGAAGAATAATATGCGCGTCGTGGGAAGGAATAACAACATAATTTTTTAAAATAAAAGTGACAGGATGTGTTTCATTATTTCATCACGAAAAGATTCATCATTTCGTGTAACCACAATCCATACTAATCATTTTAAAATTTTTTATTAAGATATATGATAAACCTTTATTAGGTACTTAAAAACTAGTATATAAGATAATTAAGTTCAATAATAATAATATTTTTTTGAAAAAAATTTTTAAATTATAAAAATACAATTCCTTGAATTTATTATTGATAAAAAATAAAATAAATTTTGTTATACTCATCATTTCGTGTAACCACGAGAGTAATAATCCTTCTGTTAATCATTTTTAAATTTTTATTCGATATTTAAAAAACTGGTATAGATAATCTAAGTCGATCTAATTTTTCTCTTTATCTGATTTTTCTTCAGATTGTTTCACTTCAGTTTTCTCCTCTTCAGCTGACTTAATTTCATTAGGAGCTTGTTCTTCGAGAAGTGCATCTATTTTTGCATTTAGATTATCAAGCCTCTCATCAAGCTCATTTAATGCTCCCTCTGCCTTATCCATGTCTTCAAGTATTTCGCTAATATTCAAGTCTGAAAAATTTTCATCTTGAAGTAATTCTGCCGACAATTCTGAGGGATTGGTTGAAGTGATAGAACTAGGCATTTTTTATGAATTATAATTTTCTATTAGTTATCTTACTGCAAATTACTTTAAAGAAAAAAAAACCCCGTTTCTTCGGTTCCTTAGAACATTAATATGATATTATAATAAAATTTTGGTATGATGATAGTAAATTTTCATTTAAAAAATGTAATAAATAGATAAAATATGGAGATATACAGGAAAATGACAATCAATTTATATTCGTTTCTGGAAAAATAAATCGGTGTGTATTACCAAAATGATACATATCAAAAAAAAACGTGGTGGTAGCGTGTATATTCATAAATTGCATAGACTACGGTTAACCTTATGTTGTATGTTTTTTCTTTTAATTAAACGCTTTACATTTCCATCATCTCCTTTTCAATTAGGAGAATCATAACGGTGCAAGTCACCTTGCAGGTGGAGTACACGATCCACTTTTGGAGTTTTTTTGCGATTGTATTTTAATGTTTTTTTTTTTCTTTTTTTTCTTTTTTTTGTTTTTTTTTTTTACAAAAAAAAAATTCTCGCGGACAGTTGGAAGACCTTCCTTTATATTACAACTTGCTTACTCCTATCATTCCTTTCGACATTCGAATCCTAAAACCTCGTATTGCTTTTCGCATAACGAAACCACAAGCCAGAAACGTTTCTCATCAAGATAGTGCATAGATCAATTTTTTTTTTTTGAATTTACTTAATTGTAATCGCATGGAATTAAAAATGACATCAACACCTGTTTGGACACCCTTGCCCAGATTTGGTTATGGTTTTGCCATATATCCTTTCACACCAGGGGCACAAACAAATTCGTCTGATTCAACAAAAGAACCTCAAGAAGATATTCAAGATAATTCTCCGAGTGATCCTCCAGAAAAACAAGGAACACCCTTTCCTGAAGCTACCGATTCTAATGGTTTGTCTTATACAAACGGTTCTTCTGACACATCATCGATATCCTCTGAAAATTCCAATTCATATATTGTATCATACCAAGTTAGTCTAGAAGTTGGTGATGAAGTATACGTTTTTGAGGAACAAGGAGCTTGGTATCGTGGTTATGTCGTCTCTCAATTACGTCAAACGGAGGAACCTCAAGTTTATGTTGGGATTTTTCCGATGAATCATGTCTATATAAAAGAATATTTAGAAGATTTAGAATTCGAAGTAGATAATACGAATAGTAGCGATTCCAGTCCAGAAGGTGAACGAATTAATCGTCCTCCACCTCCTTTACCATCTCTTAAATGCGGTGATGATACAATTAGTGGTAAAACCGAACCATTGGTAGATGAGATTGCTAGCACGGTGAGAGAATGGAGCAGCCTTTTACCAAAATATCTTGAAGAGCGAAAGTACAAAATGTTCAGAACAGTTAAAGATCAAATAAACAATCTATTACAAGGACGTCGTCAATTACTAGCGCAGACTTTATCTCAAGATGAATTGAGTAAATTACGAAAAGAACTCATTAATAAATTAGTTTCCGGAAATTTAATTCAGGATTTGGATATAATTGTACGAAATCCAGAAAGGGGATTTTTGGCGGATGAGACTAATATATCTGCTATTAGACTTTATCAATTACATTCTCAATTGTCGCTTTTAAATGTGGATAAATCAAAATCTGAACCACTTCTTATGAGTCCTACAAGCCCTTCCTTGTTGACACCTTCCGGTAGTAATTATTTTCATTCACAAGGTTCAACGACTACTGAAAACGTTAGTCATGCGCCGAAATTTTATCATGTATTTTTAGATTTAAAAGCTTGGGTTGCTTCTATTTCAGCTCCTGGCGAATATACCGAACTTTATTTTTCTTTATACACCAAAAATGACTCAAAATTTATTACAGAAGAATATTTCATTATATTAAATCATAATGGTGTTCCAAAAGACGAAAGCAAAATTGGTAAAATTCGAACCATTTTTACGGATCTTTCGCCTCATGACATACAGGAACAAATTTACCTCGTGTGCAGAATTGTACGTACTGGAAGTATGAAGTTATCTGATAAAGATAAAGAAAATACAAAGGAAGGTGGTTCGATGACGTCATTATTTTCTAAACCAACAAAGGATATGGACCAAGCTGATCAATTATCGATATCCAATGGAAGATCGATACCACAAACTTTCCGTAGACCTTTTGGATGTGCTGTTCTTGAAATAAGTCACCTTCTTCAAGGGAAAGAAAAGGAAACTCTCAGTGAACATGTGATGCCCATATATGTACCTGTTCAAGAGTCAACATTTGCCACCTTACACGAAGACATTATAAATAGCCGTGCTAAGGAGCTTGAAAAGTCACCACGTGCTGAAATGGTCAGTGTCTCGCTTAGACCATATTATGGTGAGACTGCAATTATAATCAAAGAAAATCCTGCGTTACTTCAAGATATTCCGATTACATCACGTCTTGGATTTGCTGATGTTGTATTTCCCGGTGACACGAGAAATGAAATTTATCTCAAACTTTTGTCAGGAGATTTCACGCAAGGTCGTTCTACAACAGCCAAAAATATTCAAATGACAGCCGAAGTAAAATTAAACACAGGTGAAGTCTTGGAAAATGTGATCTCACAAGGAGCTGGTGAACCTAAAGTTTCACAATTCGATTCCTTAGTTTTTTATCATTCCAATAACCCTTTATGGGGTGAATTGATTAAATTAAATATACCAGTGGAATTATTTGAACAAGCACATGTATTTTTTACTTTCCGACATCGTTCTACAAAAGATAAAAAGGAGGATAAAATTTTCGCATTCGCATATATGCCTTTATTTCCCGAAAACAGAGCATTTATAAGTGATGGAAAACATTCACTTATTTTGTATAAATATGATAAGCAATGGATAAATCCTTCGGTATATCTTAAAGCATCATGGTCTCCTACGGCGACATTTTCTGATACAGTTTCAACACATTCATCTATAAATTCACATTCTTCACATAAAATGTTTCCTTCGTCTAAAGATACAGTAGTAATTGGGACATTTTTATGTTCGACAAAATACACACAAAATGAAGTTCTCCTTAAATTATTAAATTGGGAAAAGCAACTTATGTCAGATATAAACGAGATGATGTCAGTTTTGAAGAAATTCACTTTTGTAGGTGAGGTAGAGATAGTTAAATTTCTCCAGGATATTTTTGATGCACTTTTTGGTATACTTGTCTCAACAAGAAATCAACATGGAGAGCTAGATGATTTAATATTCAATGCCCTTGTTACAATCCTTGGAATCGTATCTGATAGACGATTTATGAACTTTAGGCCAGTGCTTGATGTATATATTGAAAAGCATTTTTCATGTGCGGCAGCGTCTTCTCATTTGATTCGTTCTATGAATCGACTTGTATCTAATCCAACTAGTCCAGAAACTGCTCAAAGTTTACGTTCAGCTATAAAGGTCTGGCAATACATATTTAAGATAATAATGCGATCTCGTGAACTTCAACGAACAAAAGAATCCAATATGGGATTGTCTGGTAATTATGTTGAAGAGCAATTCAAAAAAGAACTTTTTAGCTTGTTTAGGAGCGTTGACAGGTTAATGTCTATAACAACACCTCAATCCATAATTGGCACGCAAACTTTAGCATTACAACATTTCGCTTCCATTTTTGCAGATCTTGGGAAATGTTTTACACCCGATGATCTTGTACAGATAGCAATCCGGTTTACTGAATCAGTAAGGTTGCCAAAAGGCAAGTTGTTAGCATACAAATTATTGGTAATTCTTCAATTTTGTCGTGGACCTTTATTTGAAAATGCAGAATCTCGCGCAATCCTTTTACGAAGAGTCGTTGAGTGGGTTGCAGATCATATGGGCAAGTGGGAAAGAACCGGTAAACAAAATGGTGACAGTGATTCTGCAAGGATGCAATGGCAAGATGGTATACGGTTATGTGTGACCATTATTGCCGTTATGTTGGAAAGTTTACAATGTTCAATCGAAAGGTCAACCGAAGAAGCAGCTAAGGAGTGTGAAATAGAAAATGTAAAGGTCATCCTACCACTCGTCGTAAAACTTTGCGAGTCATACCGAGAGCTGCATATTACGGCTGATGAGATACATCCTCAACGAGACAGAACTGCGTCTAGTGGCGCTGTATTATCTTCGGCGATGTTTTCCTGGTCATACCCATTGTCCGGTATAACAACTCCGACACCAACCGTGAGCTCATACCGACATTCAAAGGAATTTTTACTCTCTCCATTACAGAGTTCATTCTCGTCAGGATTAGGAGAAATAGCTGCTGTAATACTACAGATCATGTTTTTACTATCCCAGGAACATATGAAGGAGCATTTGCTATCTACTTACTATAGGGAAGGGCATGATGCAACAGCAGATTTTTTAACTTTATTATTCCTGGTTTCTCGATCCATACTTTTAAATGAAGCTTTTCCGGAGTCATGGTTGAACATGAATATAATGGCTCATAAAGTATTTTTAAAATTTCTTGAGCCTATTTCAACTTTAATGGAGAAGAATTACATTCCTGACAAAGATGCACCAGATACATTTAACGAACAATTGTGGCGGGAGTATTTCACTTGCTTATTAGCCTTGTTAACAAGTAAACACCTAATAATTGAAAATTTTACACCACAAAAACGTCGTGCAATATGGCGCTTGGCTGGAGATCTTCGAGGAAGAGCCGCAAAATTATTGTCCACATTATGGGATGCTATAGGATGGGAGCATGGAAAGGATGGGAAAATGGGTGGATATCAAGTTCGGTTCATTAATACGTTATTGGGACCAATTTTAGAGTTATGTTTATCTCATCATGATGAATTACGTTCCGCCGCCATAACAGTATTATTTAGTATGATTCTTACTCAGTATACAATGGATGAGGATTTCAAACAGATGGAATCGGATATTATCGATACTTTAGATAAATTATTTATGTCAGAGAATAAAGGAGATGAAATATCGCGAGCATATTTTATAGCTCAGTTACGTAATCTTTTTGAGAATAACTCGGTTGAAAAAGCTTTACGTGAAACAGTAATAAAATTTTTAGATTCACTCAGCGAATTCTTAGAATTATTATTAGGTGTTCGTGATTTGCCAGAGGGAGAAGAATTCCAGGATGATCGTATAATGTGTACATTGAAATTGATGAAATTCATAAAATCTATCGATAGAGAACAAATTTATATTAAATATGTACATCAACTCGTTCAGTTGCAAGTTCATAGTCATAATTTTGTAGAAGCTGCATTAACGCTTAAATTACATTCAGATTTATATGATTGGGATCCAAATTCTGAAGTTGAAGCATTACCTGAAATGGATTTCCCAAAACAATCGCCGTTTGATAGGAAAGAACGATTATATATACAAATATTGGACTATTTTGTTAAGGGTAAAGCTTGGGAATGTGGGATTGAGATATGTAAGGAATTGGCGCGTCATTTTGAATATACGACTTATGATTACCAACGTCTAAGTAACATATTAAAGCAACAGGCTGTTTTACACGAGAATGTAATTAAGAAGGAACGATATTTCAGCGAATATTTCCGTGTAGGATTTTATGGTCGAGGATTTCCTGCAAGTTTGCAAAATCGACAATTTATTTATCGTGGTTATGAATGGGAGAAAATTGGAGCTTTTTGTGAGCGTATGCTAAATAAACATTCCCAAGCAGCATTATTAAAATCAAATTGTACTCCTTCAGATGAGATCCTTTATGAAGATGGGCAATTTTTACAGGTTACCGCTGTTGTACCTGAACCTGATAGTAAACATCCTGTTTTCAAAAGTGGTGTTCCTTCATCCATCAAAGCGTATTATGAACACAATTCAGTAAATACATTTAGTTTTTCAAGACCCGTAAATAAAAATCCTGACGGGGTGAAATCTTCAAATGAATTTTTGGATTTATGGACGGAAAAAACCATTATGGTGTCAGAAGATCATTTCCCAACCGTGCTTCGCCGATCTGAAATAATTGAAAATACTGTGATTGAAGTTTCTCCAATTGAAAATGCAGTGGCAGCCATGAATGCTAAGAATCGCGAATTGAAAATGTTGGAAGCAAAATATCATGCTTTTCTCACATCGTCCAAGGGTGTTGGTAAAATCAATACCAATCCCTTATCTATGTCATTGAACGGGGCGGTAGATGCACCTGTAAATGGGGGTGTTCCAATGTACAAAAAAGCCTTCTTCGGAGATGACTTTTTAACAACTAATCCGGATAAAGGAGTATTTGTAAATCAACTAAAAGAAGCTATTGATGAACAGGTTAACATTAATTATAATTTTCAATATTTGTTGTATTTTTTTTTAAGAAACGATTTAATGAATTTTTTTTAATATATATCTATATAGGTTGATATTATTGATAGATGTTTGGAAATACATGATCGTCTCGTCTCTGCAGACATGCGACCTTTACACGATACTTTGGTTAAATGTATGTATATATGATAACATTTTAATGGTTTATATAATAATAAGGTTTTGTTAAATAAATTTTTATTCTTTCCACCCCAAAAAAAAGTTTTCCTAAAAAACTTTACAGAAGAAATAAATCGGTTAGCAGAACGCCGAAACTTGGCTGAGTCAAAGGTAATGACATTATCACGATCTTCCGCATCATCTCTGGTTTTTTTCCCGCCTCCAATAAAAGATACCAATAAACCTTTCTTTATATCGAATTCACCTATGAATACTTTGAATACTGAACAGACAACACCCATGCCACCTACAAACTCATCAGTTATAACGCGTGTAGCAGCAGCAGCAACTTTCAATAATATTTCACGCAATTCTATAAATACGCAAGGCAATATGTCAATGTCAAATCATTCAATTAATTATAATAAACGGATGTCCGAATCTTCGGAAGGTAGTAACGGGAACTATCCCCCCATTAGTCCTAATGGCGATACAATTACAGAAATACCAGTTATTGAAAAACGACCAACACTTAAAGAACGTAAAGGATCAATAGTATTTGGAGAAAGAAGAAAGACCATGAAGGGATGGCCTTTTAATCGTAATAGAAGTACAACACAGTAAGAAAAATATATTTATTTATTTATTATCAGGGAGATGTTAAGAAATTATTATTATATATTTTTATTTTTTTTTTTTTTTCTATGAACCAATTATGAACATATTTACTTTTTCTGCTGTTGTTGCTATAATAAAATGAAAAAAAAAAAATTCAATTTTAATCACCTCAATTTTCATAATAGCCAATAAAATTTGATAAGTTATACAAACCTTTTGTTGCCAAGCATGTGCCGTTGCCAAAAGTTTATAATTCGGTTGTTGAGTTTGATCATCAGGAAAGATGTAATCGAAATATTCTTCCCAAGCAACACCTGTCTGTCCTTCAGTTTCATCAAGCTTACGTCGTTTCTTGACGACTTTAGGCATCTTAGCTTCTATAGCTGATAGTGTTTCTTGAGTGCCATGATTGGTTTCAAATTCCTTCCATGATTCAAGTAGCAGAACGCGCTATATATATATAAAAAAAAAAAAAAAAAAATTTATATATTAATGGATTGTTTTATATCTAAAATCTATTATTCACAAAAATTTCAAAACTACCTCTTCTTTCAATTCTTTTTCTTTCATACTCTTGTAAGCTGTTTCAAATACTTTTCGTGCTCTTTCTAATGCACCTTTCCCGTCTCCTTCGTCCGCGTTCAATTCAAATTGTGCAAAACTAATCCAAACCTTAACGTGACCAGTCTTTTCCAATAAACGTTGATATAAAAGACGAGTCTTTTCAAATTCTTCTTCTGTAAATTCAAAATCAATATACGCCTTCCATAACAACTCTGGCATATCTAAAACTGGTTGCTCTACAGCCAATTCAAATATTGCACGACATCTATCATAATCACCTAACATCTTTTCTAGTTCTGCGAATTTAATCCATGCGTAACAATTGGATGGGTTATGTTCCAAATATTTAGTATATAGAGTACGACAACGGTCAAATTCTCGTAGCTTTAATTTATAATTAGTTGTTTTTTTTTAAAAAAAAAAATAAAATAAAATCTGTAATTAGGAAAATTTAATAATTTATTATATAAATATATATAATTTTTACCTGTAATTCAAGTTCAATATATCCCTTAAAGAGCCTATCCTTTGGACACATTCCTGTTTACAATAAATATTAGGTATATAAACGATAATAATGATACATTCATCATACATAAAGAATATAAAGATATATCATTAATAACCTATCGCCATTCCCAAAAACTTTCTTGCTGTCCGTAAGTCCAATCGTCTTGTTTCAAATTGTGCATACAACAACCATATCTTTGCGAATGTGAATTTTTTGTGAGGTATTATCTTCAGACATTCTTGATAAATTTGACGTGTTCGATCGTAATCCTATTTAAAAAAAAATTTGGATAAATAGGAGATTCTAAATTCTAGTATGCCTTATTCATAATTTACTTTAGTTTCAAGTTCTTCATACAACGCGTAATTTATCCATAAATATATATATCGTCTCCAGAATCTTTTCTCTTGTGTCGGAGGCACTTGTGCAATAGCGCGTTCGTAAATTTCACGAACTTTGTCGGCATCGCCTGCATTTTCTTCCAATCTCGCGTAATCAAACCATATATCATAATTCTTTGGATTTGCTTTTAATTCCTTAGAAAAATAAACATGAATTAATTAATCAATAAACTTACACGTTAAAAAATTTGATTAATACCTCTTCATATTGTATCCTCCGCTTTCCAACTACCACGTCTTCTATTCCATCTTTGTCACCGTATTGTTTTTCGAATTGAGTGTACGCGTTATATAATGATTCTGATTTAGATCTAGATAGCTTATCCAAAGCATATTTATAAATAACACGTGCTCTTTCAAACTACAAATTATGGTATATATAGAATGTTATTAGAATTACGATGAAAAAAAAATTTAATGTGGCTATATACCTCTTTTAACTTTGTCTCAAATTTTGCAAATGCTATAAATATCTTTTGATCCATATGATCTTCACCTAACATTTCAATGGCATGACTAAGGATCTCTCGACATTTTTCTATGTACAAAATAATAACCGACGAATATTGTGAGAATTTAGAATTTGAACTCTTTATTAAATTCCCGAAAAAAGTTTACCCAAATCATTCTGCTCCTCTTCAAACTTGACCCATTTAAGCCAATTTTTTGGTTCCGGATGTACATTAACAAATCTCTCATAAATAGCTCTTGCTCTATCAATTTCTCCATATCTCTTTTCCATTTTTATATAAGCGTTCCATGCGGATTCATCCGGTTCCCATTGCATCCAACGTTCAAATATTTGACGTGCTCCTGCGACATTTCCCAACATTTCTTCCATATAAGTATATTTGTACCTTTAATAAATTAATTGATACATGTCAATTATAAACCGAATTAATAAATAATATTTATATTTAAATCTTAAAAGAACCTCACCAAAATTGATCAACTCGTGGTAATAAAGTAACCGCACGATCAAATAAATTTCTAGCATGATTGATATTGCGATTTTTCATTTCCATTTCGGTATATTTAATAAAAAGAGTAACATTGCGTGAATCTACGTCTAAGGCCCTTTCATAAATTGAACGCGCTCTATATAGAAAACATTAAATCGCATTTAGAATAAACATGTACCTTAGATGAATAAAATAATATAAAATCGTTCAGAATAAAGTAAATACCTATTCAATTCTTTTTGACTTTCTTCCCATGTCGCATACTTTAACCAGCTTCCGATATTTAATCTATTCCTTCTTATTGCATCTTCAAATTCTTTTCTTTTACGTAAACGATATTCTGACAATTCTTCCAAGTCAGAAATCTTTTGACGAGGCGCTTTCTTTGCAGATTCTTGTCTCTCTTTAGCTTCACGAAGAATTTGCTCGGCTGTAATTTGAATCGGTGCGGGGTTTTTGTTTTTGATCTAAACGAGGAATTAAGAAAGTTTATAAATTGGTCTGAAGAAATATATATATATATTTCAAATCGAGAAAAATGTACCTTTGGAGGACCCCGTTGTTGTTTGTAAAGGTTTGGAACTTGTGATGGATCCATTTTAGTAAATGTTTTTCGGTATTTTCGATAGATCTTATTAAGAACGGAATAGTTATAAATTTTTGAAATATTTTTTCGAAGGAAAGTTGCTCATTATTGGTCAGTTAAATTCCTAAGGAAATAGGCTATATCTTGATCACAGTATTTTATAACATAATATTATCAGCTCGTTGCATAGTAGTAGGGTGTCCAGGAATATCAGTCACTGGTCATTTCCAGCGCAACGCCAATCACTAATTAAAATTTTTGTACTACGTGAATTTGCCTATCTTC